CGAAATGAAGCGATTTCATCTGAACAGTTTGTTGAATATCCTACCTAAATACTTAATACCTAAATACCTAACACCTAAATACCTACTTAACTTGAAATAATTCCACTGGAATTTTACTACTCGATTAAGTGCTGTGCGACTGGAGTCCTAAAGCTGATGTTGCTTGTCAAGATCCAGCTCAATCACGGTGTTAATATTACAGCACTGTAGTACCTGTTTGATTGCAGCAGTCTCAAATGGTAAAAAAAAAAAGGGAATCCATATGGTTTTCATTAAGAACGATTTTATTTTAACCTACAGGAACTATGCCAAGAAAGAGTACCCTGCCTCAAGCAATAAATATGGCAGAGCTTCATAGCTGTCCAAATAATGGGTAAAAGATTTGATGGCTTTTAGCCAAATTCCTATTACATAGACATAAAGAATATCTTTGAGACTCTGAGATGGTTAACAACTTATTTTGTGTGAGAACTCCTCCAGTTAGTGCATGACATTTCTACTCACCTGCATGATTTCAGTAACAGCTTTGCAGGCTTCTTCCTTGTTTGAAGCCACAATTACGCCTTTGCCAGCTGCCAGGCCACTAGCTTTTACAACTAAAGCAGGGAAGTTTGCACTTCAAAGAGAGAGAAAAGAGATTCAACAGTAAATACGCTGTATTGCAAATGCATTTTGAACGTTTTAATAGTTGAAAGATCAAAATACTTATCGGTTTTCATAGCAACTGTTTTACCTTATTGAATAACGCACAAATAAAAACCAGGCTTCTCTTGTTATGCTATGCCTGTAAAGGATTTCTGCTTCCTGTTTTTTCCCGACCACTGAATTTCATTACTGTTCTGAAAGGTTCTTTCCTCTTAATAATTTACTGTTGTATCATTTCTGGGTCACCTGGATTGTATTCTGATAAGTAGATCATCATTTGCTGAGTAAGTCTCCAATGCAGGACTTATATTTGTGGAGAAAAGGTACAAAGAAGGCAGAACATAATGACTATTAGACTGCCAGCTGGGTTTCCACAATAGGCAATTTGAAAAAAATAAAAACTTGTCCTATATTCTCCTGTAAACTGAATGCTGAACTCTATTTTCATTGAAGAGCAGTAAATAAGAACCATGTAATTATGAGACTTATTGCAGTGTGATAGTGTCATGTTAGATTATCCTCTAAAATCTTTACAGATGTTCTATCACAGCCAAAAGTATTGACACATTAGTAATCATTTGATTGTTTGTTTTAGATACCTAGCACACTGTACATTGCTATAAAAAAAAAATTTCTAAAATGACAAGAATTTTACCTGTCAATAAAGCTACATGCTGCTTTAGGATCAGTAAAAGATTTCCATCTCGCAGTTGGGATCTCATGACGATCCAAAAAGGCTTTGGTGAAGCTCTTACTGGACTCCAGCTGAGCTGCCTTTGCTGTTGGACCAAAACACCTTACTCCAGCTGCTGTCAAGTCATCAACAATTCCTAAAAATGACAACACAAAAGAATTCTATAAATCACTAGATGATTTATAGGAGTCATGTCGTCCAAGTCTACAGATGCACTGATTTGTTGGAACAAGTATGTCAGGAATGATAAGCCATATATTTCTATCCAGTGCCTATTTTACCAGATGGATGGTAAAAAAGATGCATTCTTCACTGTAATCAGGAGCAGGTAACTCTGCAATATCTGGCGCTAAGAAGATCCACTGCATTTGGTAAGAGATGCCAACCCCCCCTTGTTTTACTATAGCTTTTAGCTAAAAATTTGACATTAGTCTTTTCTAAAGATGACAATTGTTGATCATGTGAAAGGTTGAAACAGAAAAACTATCAACATGTTTATAAATGTTTTAACCAAGTCCCAAATTATTACTATTTCAAAAAATGAAAACTCCATAGGAAAATCAAAACTCTAGTTAAGGTTCCTATATGGAAACACTTTGATACCTCTTTTACTAATTCCAAGCACTTAAAAAGAAACTGAACATTTAAGGATATTTTAACTGTTATATTGCTCACACAAAACCCTTCAGAAATTCATTTTCATCACAGCACAACCCTGAATTTCAGGGAAACTGCCACGGAGGATCTGTTTCCATTCCTACTGAAGACACTCAGATACTGTTGAGTGGTGCACAGAAGATGGGGACTACAATTTACTTTTCTTCCTAAGTTATAAAGGCTATGATTTTTAGCTTGCTTTCTCTTACCAGCAGCAAGAGGAACCTCTGGACCAACCACAACCAGCCTGATCTCCTGATCTCTGCAGAACTGGGCAAGTGCAGCATGATTGTTGACTGAAACAGCTGTCAAAGATACAAAAAGGTGGTAAGACTGCATTCATGACTATTGCTTAGCACTTATTTATTACATAATGCTGAAGGAGCATTTTCACCACTCACATTCTTGAATGGTAGGTCACTGCGAATCTGGAAGAGTGAGGCATACACTAATATAAAGACTTACATGCAACGCTTGGACCAAAATACACCACCAAACCCCCAAGCAAAGGCTGTAGTTTGACATGCATTGTAAACAGACCTTGCTCTTGAAGGTGAGAAAAAAAGTTTTGGGTTCCCCTACACTGTCATACAATAAATGGTTCTCATCTCTAGGATCATCCTGTTTGCCAGCACAAGAAGCATCGCGAAGCATCCAAGTGAAAAATAACTCACAAGCAAAAAAAAAAACCCATGTATTTTTCAGCCAGTCTCCTCCTGGACTAAGGTCACCATGAAGCTTTACACGTTTGTGCCAGCATGGTGTAGGGGACAGGAACAAATGGCTGATGGTGGGATTGCAATCGTTTTCTTTTCTTTTTTTCTTTCCTTCTGTAGCGCCAGCTAAAAATTGCCACACTAAACTGTGACCCCACTGAAACAAAGGGGAATCTGCACATTTTTTCTTACATTAGGTTGAACTTAATAAGGGCAGGTGCTGTAATTATGGGTACGGATATTTGGTTCTAGGTTTTTAGGACCATTATCTTTCCATAAACAAACATTTAATATGACGATACTTGGAATGCCAAAAACTGTGTAAACAAAAGAAAAAGCTTGCACGAAAGACAATTATGTCAAGTCTCATGATAAAAAATTTACACAAAGGCAATGCAATTCCACTGCTTTTATCAAGAATAAATAAAGCCAAGGTCTACAGAGGACGGGAACGTGAACCCGGAGAGAGCCAAAAAAGCGGTGAGCGCGGTCCGGCGTGGATTGGCTGCCCCTGCGGGAGGAGACTAACACATCAGGGCACGAAGCTGGCAAAGGGAGCACGGTACGGCACAGCAGAGACCCTCCTTGCAGCTGGACTACTTTGCTTCCAGTTTTATCTGTGATCTCCTGTTAGTGACTGTACTGGCAAGCATGCCAGGAGCTGATGGTCTCTTCCAGCTAGTTTCTGGGGAAGTGACGAGAGGGAAAGGAGAGGCAGTGATACAGCAGCTTCTGCTGGACAAACAGACATGATTTTGTCTCGGTGCCCACTGCGCTCCCGCCATCCCGTATGAATAAACTGCCTGCTTCCACAAGAGAAGCCGTCATTTCTGCCTAAGAGATGGCATAAAAGCAACTATCTGAAACCTACATATTGGTTATAGATTTCCCCTATTTGGGCAGGGTGGGGGAAAAAACCTGACTGAACAGTAATAAAAATCACCTCCTTGATACCTGTTTAACAGTTCAATTACTTTGCTCCACCAACATTTGTAAGTAAGGAGAAGCAAAGGCCTTTGAGTTCTGTGTGCAATTTATGCCAATTGACTTCAGGCTCACAAAAGAGCAAAACCAAAAGCGTAACACACTTGGCTTTAAAGTACTGATTAACATAGAGGTCAATATTGTCTTTCAGTCCCATGGGGCTGTTGTGAAAGCAGCTGGAGAACAGCAGATCCCGACTGAAGAGAGTGGGAGCTCTGGTGGGCCACTGAAGAGGGACGATCCCTGTTCCCCACAAAATGAATCCATGCGAAGGGGAGCAAGGAAAGGAATGAGCCCTTAAGGTGACTGTGCTTTTCATCCCAAATTGTCTTGCCACAGGCCTGATCTACTAGTGATATGAACACTGAATATGGCACAAGATTTACATGATGTGGAAATGTCCTAGTAACAAATGGAAAGGAATAAATCACATCGTTAATACATAATTTTAACTTTCCCCCCAAACATCATTCTCCTCAGGATGTAGACTGAAAGGGGACATTTTTGTAGCTGTGTTTCATTTCTCAAAACAACAGCTAAACACTCCTTTCGAACCAGACAGAAGGACCTTGGACCAAGGTTTTCAAAGCTAGAGCTTAAAGTTAAGAGTATATGTTACACTGAGAGCTAAAATGTGATGGAAGGAGGCGTCAGGATGCTAAAGTCCATTCACAGACAGGCATATGTCTATCTCTGGATTCAGCAAGTCATTCTGTATGCTTCTGGCACAAAAACTGCCCTGCTAATTAAATATAAATTGAATATAAAACTATATTTAGCCACTCAACCTATACCTGTCTTTATTGTCAGAAACGGTAACTGACTCAAATTAACCATGGAAACTTTTTTTTTACTTACATACAGGCAAGGTTTGAAGGATTTAAGGTTATTTATAATTCTAAGCTCACTTTTATATGTTTCAGAAATCATCTGAAAACCAGAGTTTCAATGCTAATTAAAGGCAATCTCATGAACCATGAAGGGAGGATGAACCTTCAGAGCTTTGATCATACCAAAAAAACCAGAAACAATGGTAGCAGTTTCACAGACATTGTTGCCCAGGCTCACACAATATAATAGGCTCACATGCTTCTGTAAAGCTGTTTTCCTTTTTCTCCTGAGTTAAAATCTAGACCGCAGTGGTAGGACTAAAATGCCTGAGCAGATAAGACAAATTGTTTCCTTAAAAACCAAAGAAGTCAAACTCTTCATAAATTCTAGATTCTTCCCGTCTCCTGGTTGGCTGAGGACTTCTCTCCCAAAGTACATGTGAGCCCATACTCTAGAAAAAAAGATTTTAGTACACATGGTAGGTTTCACGGACCTGGCTTGAGCATTATTACGCTCAAATATTTTCCACTGTTGAGGGTGCAGTATTTTTTATGGAATAACAAGGTGAGGGAGAAGCACAGCAGTTTTTAAAAGACACCGCCTGCAAAAAAATACTGACATTAACATTCTGCAGGCCATACAGACTGGCATTGACTCCATTTACCGTAAGGGTAAAGGTTTTTGTTTGACTTTCTGGGATGAGAAGGAAACGTGTGACTTTCCTTCCTTGGGCCCTCTCCTCAGAGACCAAACAGAACAAAAACCTACTTACGAGACTGTCAATAGTCAAAGAAATTAAGGACAAAGTTATTCAAACAGCCTGTAATTAAGCATTCCAATGGAATTAAGTATGATAATTACCTGCTGTACAAGAATCTGACAGGATTCGTGTTTCCACATGAGATGGCAACAAAAAAGATTTTACTCACATAGAAATATGAATGCAGAAAATTGAGGTATATAATTCATGTTCACATGCATACCATGTTAACTTTAATTCCGTATGTTACCACATGTTTTAAAGTGGAAACTTAAGTCGGTTGTTTAAACTACCTAATTCAGGATCTGTTATATAAAGGACTCAAGACAGGAACCTCTGAGTAATTACCCCTGGTTTTGTACTGATTCACTGTGTGCCTCCAAGCAAGCACCTTAGACCAGTATTTTTTTAAAAATGCAGCACATCATTTTGGATGCTCAATTTGAAATACCTTAAGCTTGATTTCTCAAAACTAATAACTGTGAATAGTTTCAATTACAGCCAGTCAGAGGTTAACATATTAAGCTAGAAGCTCAAAACAGGCAGTAAGTACGAAGAGAGAAACATTTGAAAATAACCTAACTTCTTAAGATCACTAAGACAAAGGAATGAATGTTTTTCTACAGTTGAACATTTCAGGTGAGAAAGTATTCTCATCAAAGGTTGTAGGGATCACAGGGCTTCAATGCACTTCTGAGAATATAATAGTGAATTTAGCACTTTAGGTGCTGGCATTTGCTTCAGGCACTTTTCAGCTGTTCTCCAACCAGTTGTTGAATGGCAGTGCGTACCAAGAGAAACCATCACCCCTTCCCTGCTAGGCTGCTGGGAGGCAGGAACCACTGCAGCTATCCCAAGCTCTATTCCTGCAGGAATGTGCATTGGACAGATGAAGTTTTGGCTGCATCCTCCACCCCCGAACCCAAAGAACTAGCTATCACAACTGAGATCGTATAAAATGAGTGGTAGTTGCACCAGGTTTTGCTCAGACATTTTTATTTCTTAACTGCTACCATCTATTTCACATGTCCGGAACCTTAAAAAATAGCAATAATAATAATCCTTTCACATTAACAGATCCATGAATGGAACAACTCATTTGTTGAATTATCAAATTTTAAAAGGGTATTTTTTCTGTTTACCTGAATTGGAAATTTTTCCATTGTCAGCTGTTCCTGC